CCGCCGGGGTCTCGGGGGCTGGGGACCCGTGCGGAGACTGTGATCGGGAGGCGTTTGGGGACCGACACCCTTTGGGGGTGCTGCCCTCAGTAGAGCATTCTCTCCGCCCGCTAACGGGACCGCGTCTTTCCTCCTCTCGGTATTTCCTCGAAGCGATCAAGGAGGGGGCTCCGATTTGCAGGTGGGGAAACTGAGGTCAGGCGTGGAGACCTCCGCTGCTCTGGTGCCAGTCCCCTGCACTCCCGCCGCGCGGCCTCTTCCCACCATCTGCCCTCTGTGGCAGACGTTGGTGCGTTTCCCTCCCAAGTCCCTCCTCCGACTCCTGAGTTGTTTCAGTCGCGAGTCCAGGAGAAGCCCCCACTGCGCCCTAAGGTGGGTATCCAGCTGACGCTTCGCGGCGACAAGTGTACAGAAGCCCCGAGCCGTCCGCCAGCCCCTCGAATCTCCTGGTCCAGGGCCCGTGGGTGCCCGCCGGGGTTCGGGGCGCGCTGCCAAGCTACGCCGCCCGGAAGGGGGTAAACCGCTGGGTCTTTGATCTTTCCTGGTTTCCGCTCCCCGCTGCAGTTCGTCAGACCCAAAGGCTTATTTGTTTTGTCTGGGGAGGTCTCTGCGGAGGTGAGGGCGACATCAAGGGGTTCCACCCCACCTTCGTGGCTCTCAGAACGCCGGCTCTGCTCAGGACACCGTGCATCTGTGTTAAGCTCGCCCTGATGTCGGGCAACCTGGGCGTGGGAAAAGACTCCTCCAACCCCGTCCTGCCTGAGTTCTCTGTGAGAGCCTCAGTTTTATGGTCTGTGAAATGGAGACTCAATTCTGTTCTTTCGCCTCCATCCCACAGAAATGTAACCGTGCACGTGGGTACTTTCCAATTTCCTAGCAGTCACATTTTTTAAAAGTTAAAAGACACAGATGAAATTAATGTTTTATATGACCCAATATAACCGAAATATAATTTCAACATAATGAGACATTTCATTCTTAATTTTGCACTATCTTTAAAATTCAGTGTTTAGGTGACACTCAAAACACAGCTCAACCCAGACTGGCCACGTTGCAGGTGATCCTTGGCATGTGGGGAGTGGCTACTGCCTTGGGCAGCACAGCTCTGAGCATGTGTGTCCCAAAAGAACATTGGGAACTTCATGCCCTCCAGAGTTGTGAACCTCTTCAAACAGCAATATTGTCTTCCTTTTATGCACACCGTTGGCACAAAATGAAGCCTTATCTTATAAGCAAGTACATGGATGCTGTTGGCAGAGTGCTTTCATTGGAGGAGTGCTGGAATGACCCAAACGTTCCTATTGTCACGTATTGCAGTTCTTTATCCTGTACTTCTTACATGCCACTTTCCTATGCCACATATAGCACAGTCACTCTGATACAGACTTATAGAAAGGAGGGAGCCTAATAGGCTCAGAGGTGTGATGTTACTTGCCCAAGGTCACACAGCTAATCAGTGACCCAGTTAGGAACTCAACCCAAGTCTTTTGATTCCATTAATCATGCTCATTTCACTCTATCAGGTTGTCCCAACAACATTTCAAACCTAGTGGCCCACCATTAGAGAGAGAGTCCTCCATCTGGAAAGAAATATTAAGCACCAGCTAGCTCTGTGGCAAGCATGGCTTTAGGCACTTCAAAGACGTATTAGTGAATAAAATGGACAATTGCCCTCCCATGGAGCTCACCCTCTGCTGGGTGGAAGGGAGGTCGCAAATGGGTCCATAGTGGGGGAGGGGTCCTTTACTCTCTGGGGGTTCAAGAGCTTGGGCAAGATCCAAGAGACACGCAGGGAATCAGGAGAACCAGGTTCAGCAAAACCCCAAGAGCAAGGATCCCATCCGG